CCCCCCCCCCCCCCCCCCCCCAAAAAAAAAAATAATAATAATAAACAAAGGCATAGTCCAAAAAAATACTTGATGAAAGAATATGCCCCTATTCTCATTTCCTTGTTTTCTTTATTTTTTTTCTCTCTCCCACATCTTGCAATTGGTTAAAATTATTAATAAACTAATTAATTTTTAATGAAACCTACTAAGTAATCTTAACTAAGAAATACTAATTAGTCTGTTTTAGTTAGTTCATAAATCTATCCATTAATTAAATTAAACCACTAAATTAGTCATAATTAAGAATATTGTTAATATTAATTTTACCTATTGAATTTCTTCCTCATTAACTAGTTTGAGCATGAACCTATCAATTGGGTTTTATAATTCTCATAATATATCTGACAGGAAAGCTAATAGTTCTAACAACATGGCTTAGCTCATGACAACTACAGAGGCTTTAAAGCCTTGAAGGTACAATTGATCAAATTAAAATAAATTAGAAGAGAACATCGTAATTAGCCGAATAGTTGAACTTAAAATGGAAAATTTGCAGTTTTCCCTAAAGAACACATGTATCTCGACCCATGAAACTGCAGTTAACAAAGTAGCGTATTGATAAGAGTAAAAAACTCTTAACTATAAAATGCATTAAAAATAAATTGTAATCAAACCATGCAGAGAACGAAAACAAAAAAAAAAAAGAGAGAGAGAGAGAGGTTACAGGAAGAACATATAAAAAATGTCATGGAATCATTATTGGCCAAGAAAAAATGAACCCCAGCTTCATAGAACCTATAAACCTCCATACCTGGAGTTTAAGGGAAAATTGCCTGGCAATGAAGAAGAATCAGCTCGGACAGTATCCCTTGCTGAGGGCCCAACTATTGCACTATTATTAACTGCACTAGTGCAGCTGGCAGGATGATACCTTTGCATTTCTCCCAACCATCAACTGCATACTTCCGTCAGCATTGGTCGGCTATATAAAGCTGTGTCAAACAGACCATATTCAAATTGTGTGCCTGTAACTTAGTTCTATTGAGGGATGAAAGAGTGTATGATCTTGTTGCAAATTCTACAGCCATACAAATTCAACCGAGTAGTTCAAAAGCCAGTCAAGTTCAATCAAGAACAAAAAACCTAAGCTTAAAGACATGTTCCAATAATATCTTTGGTTCTATTGAAATTTGAAAAGGCTAAGAAAATGTGAAAGATCCTGCCACGAATGCAGTCATACAGGTTCACCAGAGTAATTCATATGCCAGTCAAGTTCAATTCAATCTATAGCAAAAAACTTAAGATGCATGTTTGGTGATGGAAGATATTATCCACTATATATAAAGTTGAGTCCAAGGAATCAAATATTCTTTGCATACAATTTTAGGTATAAAAGTTCTGCTTGCTCGATTGCACATTTCAATGTGCTATAAGTCTGGTTTCAAATTTTTACATATTTTGTCAAAGATTATCACATTGACATTCAAGTTTCCACAGCTCAATTACATTTAACGTTGAAATACGACCTGAATTTGCAGGATTTAACATACCTTGTCAAAGTTTACAAACTACATCACATCCATCTAAATTAGGATTTCATAAGTTTGCAGTTTAAATTTTAATCCAGAATAAGTCGTAGAGTGACAATGCTGATATAACATACGAGCACCAAGACTGAGTAGAGTAAGCTGTGGTCAGCGTTAAACGTTAAGGCTTGAGAGCAACACACTCTGTTAAAGTACGAGCTAAGATGATGCCTACACATTGAAGATTGTTGGCAAACCCCGGGAAGCTATAATCAGCTCCTAGAACCTCCGTAATAATAAACATTGAATACTAGACTCAAATAGATGAAACAAAACTAAGCTCATAAACAGTGCAGAAATAACTACTATAAACCCTAAATTTCAAGGGAACAGATGCATGATCTGAACTAAATTTCAAAATCATATAAAACACACCGAGCACGTAGCCGAATCAAATCAAATAACACAAATTCGAAATAAATACGCCCAAACAGAAACTAGGGTTTAGCGAAAAACCTGATCCCAGGTTCGACACAGCAAGCCGGTTCCTCCGGGAGTGAATAGAGAAAAGGTTGTCTGTGCGATTCAAAAGACGCAAACGAAAAGGGAGACCTGCAGAAACCAGAATGGAAACATACAATATTGGGATTTCACTTGGAGGACGCAACTGAGCGAGATTTGGGAGCCATGAATGGATGTAAAAACGAAAAAAAAAAAAAAAAAAAAAAAAAAAAAAAAAAAAAAAAAAAAAAAAAAAAAAAAAAAA